AAGAGCTTGAGAAGGACTGGCAGCAGGTCCTCTTTAAATGTTTGGAAAAATTCGCTAGTGAATCCATCTGGGCCTGGGCTTTTGTTTTTGGGAAGGCTTTTGATTGCAGTTTCTATTTCGTTGATGTTAATAGGTCTATTCAGATACTCCAGGTCTTCTTGATTCAGCTTTGGGAGCTTATAGGAGTCCAGGAATTTGTCCATTTCTTCTAGGTTCTCTTGTTTCGTGGCATACAGACTTTCAAAGTAGTCTCTGATGATCTTTTGGATTTCTTTGGTTTCTGTTGTGATATCCCCCTTCTCATTTCTGATTCGGTTTATTAGGGTTCTCTCTCTCTCTGTTTCTTTGTGAGTGTTGCGAGTGGTTTATCTATCTTGTTTATTCTCTCGAAGAACCAGCTCTTGGTTTCATTGATCTTTCGGATTGTTTCTTTGGTTTCCATGTCATTGATTTCTGCTCTAAGTTTTATGATCTCTTTCCTTCTGCCTGATTTAGGTTCTTTCTGTTGATCCTTTTCTAAGGACTTGAGCTGTGAGGTCAAGTTGTTTATGTGCACCATTTCTACAGACCTAAGATATGCTTGCAGAGCTATAAATTTTCCCCTTAATACAGCTTTCGCTGCATCCCATAGGTTCTGGTAGCTCGTGTCTTCATTCTCATTTGTTTCCAGGTATCTTTTGATTTCGTCCTTGACTTCGTTCCTGACCTATTCATTGTTCAGCATCGAGTTGTTTAATTTCCAGGTGTTTAATTTGGTTCTCCGTGTCTGTGTGTGATTCACTTCTATCCTCAGTGCATCATGGTCTGAAAAGATGGCTGATACTATTTCTATCTTCCTTATTTTGTTGAGGTATGTTTTGTGTCCTAGCACATGGTCTATTTTGGAAAATGTTCCGTGTGCACTGGAGAAGAATGTGTATTCTTTCTTTTTGGGGTGTAAAGCCCTTTATAAGTCTATAAGCCCTCTCTCTTCTATTTCTTCTTTCAAAGCCAATGATTCCTTGCTGGGTTTTGTTCTTGTTGATCTGTCCAGAGGTGATAGGGCATGTTGAAGTCTCCAAGTACTATTGTGCTGCTTGCAATGTCCTCCTTAAAGTCTGTTAGCAGTTGTTTTAAATATTTGACTGTTCCCTCATTAGGTGCGTATACATTTAAGAGTGTGATCTCTTCCTGTTGTACGTATCCCTTGATGAATAGAAAATGGCCTTCACTGTCCCTTCTAGCCTTTTTCAGGGTGAAATTAATGTTTTCAGATACTAGTATGGCCACCTCAGCTTTTTTACAGGAGCTGTTTGCTTGCAGGATTGTTTTCCATCCTTTGACTTTGAGTCTGTGTTTGCTCTGAGTGTTGAGATGAGTTTCTTGTAGGCAGCAGAATGTTGGGTTCTGTCTCTGTATCCATTTTGCCGCTCTGTGTCTCTTCAATGGTGAATTGAGACCGTTACATTGAGAGTATGGTTATGGGGTTTTGTGTCATATTTCTGTGCGGGTGTGTTGTGGTTGTAGGGTTTGTCTTGTCTTATAGTAGCCCCTTTAGTCCTTGTTTTAGGTTTGGTTTTGAGTCTATGAAGTTCCTGAGCTGCTGTTTATCTAGAAAATAGTGTAGCTTTCCATCTATTTGGAGTGAGAGTTTAGCCGGATAGAGTATTCTTGGTGAAGCATTCATTTCATTGAGTTTTTTGACTATATCTCGCCACTGTCTTCGGGCTTGCAGGGTTTCCTCTGAGAGGTATGCTGTGAATCTCAGGGGTACTCCTTTGTATGTGATTTCCTTTTTTGCCCTTGCTGCTTGCAGTATTGTGTCTCTATCGGCAGCATCGATCATTCTGACTATAATATGTCTTGGGGTGTTTCTGTTGGGGTCTCTTTTAGCTGGCACCCTTCGGGCTTCTTGAATCTGGATGGCTGTATCATGGAGCGCTGGGAATTTTTCGGCAATAATTTGTTTCAGCAGGTTTTTTTCATTGGGATTGTTTCCTTGAGCTTCTGGTAGTCCAATGATTCTAATGTTGTTTCTTCTGGAATCATCTCGTAGGACTCTGATTTGCTCTTGAGCTATTTTGAGGTCCCTTGCCATCGTTTGCTGTTGTCTGTTGGCTTGGTGCAGCTGATCTTCCAAGTCACTGATTCTTTCCTCAGCTGTGGTTGTTCTGTTGTTGAGGGCAGTGAGTGAGGTTTTGACTTCGTCTATGGAATCTGTGATGCGTGCCATTTCTGTGTGGAGCTTTCCAATTTCGGCTCTCATTTCTTGCTGTATTTTGTCAATTGTGCGATCGATTGTTTCTTTCGTGTCCTCTTTCAGTTTAGCGGATATGTGTGTGACTGTTTCATCGAGTTGATTGAACATCTTGATGACTTCATATCTGAATTCCTTCTCAGAGAGGTCCCTAAGGTGGCTAGCTCCTACTGAGTCTTCTTGAGAGATTTCCTCATGGTCTCCCTGTGGTGGGGATTTGCGTTGTTTCCTCATGTTGTTGTGTATGTGGAGGGGTAATATTTGTTGGTTTCGCCAGCACTCTTTGCATGTGGTATCGTCGCTCTTTAATTCACGCCTCTGTCATCACCCTAGAAAGAAAGGATAAGAATAAGCAGAAAAGAGGCTTCTATTTCCCTCAGCTGTTCTTGGATGACTGTTACAGACCATGCAATGTTATAACGTCCATATCAAAAATTTGCTTTTGAACAACTTATCCTCTTTCACGTCTCTTGATTGTCTTTTGTTAAAGAATAATTTTTGAAGTAGTTAACTCTAAATTTTGTCCATGTCATAAGTTACTAATTAACAGTAACTTAATTACTAATGAAATGGGAGGAATCAACCTTCCCAACCTCAAACTCGACTACAAGGCAGTAATAATTGAAACAGCATGGTACTGGAACAAATACAGAGCCACAGATCAATGGAACAGGGTTGAATATACTGACACTCCCCTCCCCAAGTATATGATCAGCTAATCTTTGATAAGGGAGCAAGAAATGTGAAGTGGAGCAAGGAAAGCCTCTTTAACTAATTGTACTGGCAAAACTGGACAGCTACATGCAAAAAAAAAAGGGGGGGGGGCTCAGATCTCTACCTAACACCATGTACAAAAGTAAGATAAAAATGGATTAAAGACCTCAACATCAGACTGGAATCCATAAGGTACATGGATTCCTCCACGACATTGAAGCTAAAGGTGTCTTTAAAGATGACACGCCACTGGCCAAGCAAAGTGAAAACAGAGATAGAAAAACTGGGACTATCTTAAGCTAAGAAACTTCTGCACCTCAAAAGAAACAGTGACCAAAATACAAAGACAGTCTACAGAATGGGAAAGGATATTTACCCAAAACCCATCTGATAAGGGGTTGATATCAAGGATATACAAAGTACTGGTTGAATTCCACAAGAAGAAAACATCCAACCCCATCAAAAAGTGGGGCGACGAAATGAACAGAAACTTTCTCAAAGAAGAAATCTGAGTGGTAAAAAGGCACATGAGGAAATGCTCTACATCATTATTCATCAGGGAGATGCAGATCAAAACAACAATGAGATATCTCACACCACAGAGACTGGTCCACATCCAAAAGAACAAAAGCAACCGATGTTGGTGCAGATATGGCGAGAAAGGGACCCTCCTTCACTGCAGGTGGGAATGCCGACTGGTTCAGCCCTTTTGGAAAACAGTGTGGACGATTTCAAAAAATTAGAAATTGAGCTCCCATTTGACCCAGCAATACCACTCCTGGGAATATATCCCGGAGAGGTCAAAAGAGTACAGTTGAAATGACATCTGCACTTGTATGTTCATTGCTGCACTGTTTACAATAGCCAAAATTTGGAAAAAACCTGAGTGCCCGAGAACAGATGACTGGTTAAAGAAACTTTGGTACATCTATACAATGGAATACTATGCAGCTGTTAGAAAAGTTGAAGTCATGAAATTTACATACAAGTGATTCTACATGGAAAGTATCATGCTAAATGAAATGAGTCAGAAAGAGAGGGACAGACACAGACTGCGCTCATGTGGAGAATATAAAGTATCAGAATGGGAGATGAACACCCAAGAATAGCTGAGATAAGTACCAGGAGGTCTGCTCCAAGGCTTGGAAGCCGGCAGCACATGCTAGGGGAAAAGGCAGCTCAAATAGAGAAGGGAACACCAAGTAAAGTATGTTTGGAGGATTCACTTGGGATGCGAGATGTGTGCTGAAAGTACACTATAGACTGAACATGATGGCCACTCAATACCTCTATTGCAAACCACAACACCTTAAAGGAAAGAGAGAGCAAAAGGGAAATCGAAACCCAAGCACAAAACTTTGTAAATCTACAACTGTACCTCATGGTGTTCCACTAATAAAAAAATAAATAAAATAAAATTTTAAAAAAAGGGAATGCCCTGCCACAAAGGCGGGGCGGGGTGGGGATGGGGGTGGAAGACTATTGGGATTATTGATGGTGGAGAATGGGTACTGGTGGAGGGATGGGTACTCGATCATTGTATAACTGAAACCCAACCACAAAAGTTTGTAAGTCTACAACTGTACCTCATGGTGTTTCCCTAATGGGAAAAAAAAATAGTAGCTATTATAAATTAGCTACAGAAAGAAGCCAAAATACCAAACTCTCATAGCTAGAGAATGCTAAAGTGAATTTAAAAGTGTATAAAATCTAGAGCTGGAGAGATAGAACAGGAGTGAAGGCATTTGTTTGGGACTCAGCTGACTCAGATATCACTTGATAGTGACCTTCCTTAAAACATAAGAGGCACCCAAACAAAACTATAAAGATTACTAATGTATTTTCTGAAGCAGTGTATGAAATGATTTGATTTTACTGGCAGATTCAATTTCTTCTGATTATTTTGAGAAAAAAAAAGATGTCAAGAAGTAACTTGTTAGAATCTGCAGAGCTGTTCTACTCACTGGACATTCTATTTAAAATCTCTGCCACAGTGCTGATAATGCTTAATGAGTTTTTGCTATTTACTTATTTCTTCTTTCTACTTCAGAAAACAACCATTTTTGTTGTGCACGTATGTGGAGCCGCACTCACCTTTGGTATGGGTTCATTATATATGTTTGTTCAGACCATCATCTCCTATCAAATGCAGCCCAAAATTCATGGCAAACAAGTCTTCTGGATAAGATTACTGGTAGTGATCTGGTGTGGAGTAAGTGCCTTTAGCAGTATCCTTTGCTTAAAGTGTAATTACATTGGTAAGAAATTAGACAATAAAGTTTACTTTTTTTTTTTTTTTTGGTTTTGAGGCAACTGCCAGCAGTTCTTAGTTCTTAGTCCTCGCTCTGTTCTCAGGGATAACTTGTGGAGGAGTTTGGAGGACCATATTGGGTGCCAGGCAAGCAAGCACCATTCCTCTATACTGTCCCTCCTGCCCCTTAGATGAAAAAATTTAAATGAACACTACTGCTGTGTTTTGTTGCCTTATTTTGATTCCTGAATTAGTCATGCAAATTAAAGGACTTGAAGTATAAAATTGAAATTTTACATAAACCGCAGTAATTGTGTTAAGAACTTAATGTTTACCCAGATCATTCTCATTACAACTTAAAAAAGAATGAAGTGACACTCCCCCTGAGCAACTTTGTAACACGCTGATCATAGAGCTTTAATTCACTGAGTAATTTACTGAGTAAAGAGGGATTGACTATACAGAAGTTATAATAGTAATATAATAGGGTAATCCTTTGGGAATATTTAAACTTTCACAGATTTCATATGGCTGTAGCAATAGCACAGCAGGTAGGGCATTTGCCTTGCATGCAGCTGACGTGGCCAACCCAGGTTTGATTCCTCCACCCTGTTCAGAGAGCCTGGCAAGCTACCTGTGGCGTATTCAATATGCCAAAACCAGTAACAACAAGTCTCACAATGTCAATGTCACTGGGCCCGCTGGAGCAAATCGATGAACAATGGTTACAGTGCATATGACAATGCCTTTAAGAAAATTATTTGGACCTAGGGAACAAATATATAATTAATCCCTTTTGACCTTTAAAATGGTTTTTTTAAAAAAATTTTTTAAAATATCTGTGAGGTAGACGATTGCAAATATGTTCATGATTAGATTTCAGTCATGCAGTGATCCCAACTCCCATCCCTCCACCAGTGTACATTTCCCACCACCGATGTACCCCGTTTCCCTCCCATCCACCTCCAACCTGCCTCGATGGCAGGCACTTTTCTTCTTTCTTGCTCTCTTTTTATGCATTATGGTTTGCAGTACAGGTAGGTAATCATGTTTGTTCAGGGGATTCAGCATTTTTATTGGGAAGGAACAACTGGAATAGCCTTTTTAACTGGGTGGCAGCTTTGGGGTGTGGATGTGACTGCCGAAGCATCTGAAAGTACAGAGAGGTGGGGGAAGGTAGCCCATCCTTACCCCAAGAAAGCCTGGAGATTTCAGTCACAAAACCCGTATACCCAAATTTTCAGCGGATTATATCTTGGTGAGGTCCTTCCCGAGACGGTGGAGTCTAGCCAAAGGCATGGAAGTGATTTTGGATCTTTGGATCATGAAAGCAAGCCGCTGCTGAGGACTCTGCTTGGGCCTGCTCCCTTCTCCCTCCAAATTCCCCAATTTTTTTAGCCTTACCTGGGTCCGAGATTAAATGTAGCTTTTAGTTCTTTTTTGAGATTTATTTATGGGGCTTTGAAGCAAGGCCAGAAGAGCTTACATGGTGACTCTGGAGCTGGTTCTTGGGGGTGACTGCCAGTGCTTCCAGGAGTATAGGGAAGTGGACAGAAGTAGCCCATCCCAACTCTGAGACAGCCTGGAGATTTCAGCCACAAAACCCACATAACTGAATTTTCAACAGGTTAATATCTTGGTGAGGTCCATCCTGAGATGATAGAGTTCAGGTGGGGGCATGGTGGCAATTTTGGGTTTTGTTTTGGATCTAATTTAAACTTACAGGTCTTCTCTGAGAGTCTTCCTTGACTTCTTTTATAGTGCTGACTTGTTCATCACTTTTGTACAGTGGCAATTTTGGCAATGATATAGTTCAGAAACTCCATTGGAACCCTGAGGACAAGGTAGGAATTTAGAATCAATAAAACTTAGGTTTATCATAAAGATGAATATTTTGGTGTATTTTTTATTTCTTCACTAGTGAAACAGTAGGATAATGTAGTTGGAGTACTTTGTGTATGTGACGGAGTTTATGCCAAACTCTCCCTATTCTCCTGTCATCTATGATCTGTGGGCAGTTTCAGGATAGAATTGTGAATGGCAGTGTTTTCTCAGAGATTGACTTTTCTAAATATGAATATTGTACAACATATTACCAGCTTAAATATTCCACTAACAGAATACTTTTTTTAACTGAACTGAAAAGATATCTTCTATTTTTGTTATATGAAAGTATTAGTATAGACACTCTGTTTAGGTTATAAGAGAGTGTCTTTTTTTTTTTTTACAAAGGTTTTTACAAAGCATTTGGAGATGGTTATTTTAAATTTGTGTGTGTGTGTGTGTGTGTGTGTGCGCGCGCGTAGCTGGGGATTGAACCCATGACCTTATACATGCAAGGCATGCCCTCTACTCCAAAGACACCTCCCCAGCCTTTATGTTAATTTTCAAGAGTCACTTCTAGATATGACAGATTTGTGAAAATAAAAGTTTACCAGAATCTTTTTTTTTTTAATGTAGGAGTACTGCTATTTAATCAGCCATTAATTAGCTGATTGAATTGGGCATGAACTCCACCTTACTTTTTTTTTTTCATTTTTTATAATTTTATTTATTAAATCACCGTGAGAGCAGTTACAAAGCTTTCGGGTCTAAGTCTCAGTCATACAATGAAACACCCATACCTTCACCAGTGCCCATTCTCCACCACCAAAAACCCTAGTATCTCCCATTCCCCACCCTCCCCCTACCTGTGGGGCAGATGATTTCCACATTACTCTCTCTACTTTGATCACATTCAATATTTTGACACCAGACTCACCATTATTATTTGAGATTTTACCCCAACACTCAGATCTGCTGAAAAGGCAACAGTAGACAATTTGTGTTCTATTGCTGGTTATGAATAACATATGATGTTGCGTGGCTGCAGTAGGGTCATGTGATTTTGAAATTCCGAAATTTTAACACTTAAATCTGGAGGGATTTCTGCCAAAAGCCACTGGGTTTCAAGATTTGCTCCTGAGTCTCTGGGATCATGGCTGTTGAGCAGCTTGATCAGGAGCCAGAGAGGCCATTAATGGGCGATGACTTGGGGTCTCGTTGGGACCGGGAGACCAGGACCGGCTCCACCCCCATCCTTTGAGACCCAACAAGTTTTGTCACTGCGGGCCCAGACCTGACTGTCCCATGGCCTCTGGAGGATGACTGCCACCGAGCCGCTAAGGGCAGGCGGAGGGACAACATCCTTTCCCCCTTGGGGTGGCCCGGCGACAGTAACCTACTGCGGGGTCCTGACGCATTTCTGCCAAAAGCCGCTGGGTTTCGAGATTTGTTTCTGAGTTTCTGGGATCATGGCCATTGAGCAGCTTGATCAGGAGCCAGAGAGGCCGTTCGTGGGCGATGACTTAGGGTCTCATTGGGGTGGGGATGACAGGCCCATCTCCACCCCCATCTTGTGAGGCCCTGCGTGTCTCGTCACTGGGGGCCCAAACCTGACTGTCCAGTGGCCTCTGAAGGATGGCGGCCACTGGGCCACCGGGGGAAACAGGCCAAGGCACGAAACCTATTCCCACCTGGGTTGGCCCAGCATCAGTAACCTACTGCAGGGACCGGACGCATTTCTGCCAAAAGCTGCTAGGTTTCGAGATTTGTTTCTGAGTCTCTGGGATCATGGCCATTAAGCAGTTCAATCAGGAAACAGAGAGGCTATGCCTCCAATTATATAGCTGAGCCGGAGGTGGTTTGTAGGTGTGTCTCCCACATACCTAACTTCTGGCCATTTACTTTCTTGGTAAACTTTTCCCCAAGTTTTTGGTGTCTGGCCAAAGGCACAACAGCAATATTGGGGTATCTGGAAGTCTGAAGGCGCCATCAGGCTGAAGATGCACTCGCCTCATAAGTACAGACTGACCTGCTGGCGGCACCATACCCCCGTACCAGAATCTCATAATCAATTCATTATGTATGGCTTGAAAATAACACTAAGCTTATTGTGAACATTGTTTGCTCAAGACATCTTCAAAATCTTATCTTGAATGGTTGTGAGAATAATAACTGAATTAGTTAGTGCAGAGTACTAATTCTTCTGTTTGCCCCAGATCAGTGGTTTTTAGACACTGGTTCACAGATGTAAATAGGTTGAAAATTGCTGGTTTCCTGCCATGGTTACCAGCCACAAGTCGATAGATTGGGTCCAGTTCGCAGATTGAAAGTTATTTTTCTAGATTAGGCTTCAGCTTTTTCCACTTGTGATTCCTTTTTTACCTGTGAAGTATTTACATGATCTGGGGTAGACAGATATATAAAATAGTTATGCAAATCAAATATTCACTGTTAATAAATCATAAGGAAATATGTTATTAAATGATACTTACATTCAGTTTTGCCACCCCTGTGGTGCCACAGGTCACTGTTTGTATTTAAGAAGCTAGATTCTAGATGACGCTAAAATAGCTAGATTATTTAAGAGGACTTACCAAATGCCTAACTTTAAATTCTCAAAATATGCTCAAGTCAGTGGTTAAATATCAGAAGCCAATTTATATGGATTTTATATTTTTTCTTATTTGAGAGTAATTCTGGATCATTTGAATCAGATTTCACAGTATTGTTCTTTCCCATTGTCACTTAAGGGCTACGTGCTTCATATGATCACGACAGCAGCTGAATGGTCTATGTCATTTTCCTTCTTTGGTTTTTTCCTGACTTATATCCGTGATTTTCAGGTAAGAAAATACAGAATTAGACTCAGGCAGTCAGATTTCCTCCAAGTAGAGGAAGAGAACTTTCTGTAGAAAAATCCTCATTGCTTTTGAAAATTAACTTTAGAATTGGGCACCAGAGCAATGATGCTGAAAGAGCAACTCAGGTGAGTTGTTTCTGTTTGGAGAAGTAGCATGTTGCTAATCAGTTTCAGTCTTTTTTTTTTCCTGATGGTGCTTATCCATTTTCCTTCTCGCATTTACTTTCTCCCCACCCCTAATTTTTATTTAAGCACCCTGATTTATAGTTCTGTTAATAATAGAGTTTCAGGCAGACCGTGTTCCAGCTTCACGCCCTCTGCCAGTATCAGTGTTTTTCCACCATGGATCACTCCTCACTCCCTTGCCCTACCTCCTTAGCATGCTCTACTCAGTCCTATAGGCTGACTCTTAGGGTCTGGTACCAGCAGCCATTTGTTTTCCCTTAGTAAGTCTCATAACATTTCACCTATACATGTCCCTCTCCCTCTGATTAACCTCAGTTAGCATGATGCCTTCTAGTTCATGTAGTATCAAATCACATAATTTAATTTTATAACTGGCAGTATTCCATTGTGTGTCATCTATAATGTATATATCCATATATATTATATATCCATATATAATAATGTAAAGGTAAAGGCCCTCCCGTTGATCGTCGATTTGCTCGAGCGGGCCCAGTAACATCTCCATTGGAGACTTTGTTGTTACTGTGTTTGGCATATCGAATACTCTATATACATATATATTATATATATACCACAATTTTTTTATCCACTTATCTGTTCCTGGACGCTTGGGTTGTTTCCATATCTTGACTACTGCAGACAGCACTGCTGTGAAATATAAATGCAAATATATTTTCTAAATGCTTTTTTGGTCCCTTGGGGAGACACCAAGAAGTAGAATTCCATAAGGAAGTTCAATTCTTAATTTTTTGAGAAGGCTCCATACTGTTCTCCATAGAGCCTGAACCAGACAACATTCCCACCCACAGTGAGTGACAGTTCCTTTTCCCTCACTTTCCACTGACTCTGGTTGCTTACTCTCTTTTTGATGTGTGGCAGGTTTAAGTCTTAAAAATGGAACTGTAAAACAAGTTGGTAGAAATTCTTTTTAACATAACTTTTATATTTGCTCCCTACAATTATGTAGGTTATCCTCAACATTTAATTTTACTGGTATTTTTTTTATTTTTATACTTAAAAAAATTCTAAATTAATCACTGTGAGATACACAGTTACAAAGTTGTTCATGATTTGGCTTCTTACTGGTACTTTTTAAAAACCAAAGAAAAATAAGGGTTTTCTGAGCAAAGAAATTAAAATTTCCCCTTCTCTGATACTACAGATGGTTCCTTTTATGGTACAACAATAATTTCACTTTCGGTTGTAATAAATTGATTTACATTGCTAATCACAAAAGATGTATAGATGTGATACAGAATGTGTAGATGTGGTCTGTCTTTAAGGAACTACGTTATATGTCTAATTTTCTTTTCTGTTCCAGAAAATCTCCTTAAGGGTGGAAGCCAATTTACAAGGATTAACCCTCTATGACACTGCCCCTTGTCCTGTTAATAATGAACGAACACTACTGCTTTCCAGAGATTTATGATGAAAGGATAAAATATTTCTCTGATGATTATGATTCTCAGGGATTGGGAAATGATCATGAAAGTTACTTATTTTGCTCTGAAATTTTCAACCACCCAACCAATCAAGACTGACATTGACTATGATGAGTGCTTGTAATTGAAAGATGTGAAGTGAACCACTAAAGAACTTGTTTAAGGGTGTCATCAAGAAGACCACATCAAAACATTAATGCCTTTACGTTTTTTTTTAACCCCAGGAAATAATACCAAAGGACTACAACAAAGGAGTTTTTTCCCACTTCCAGAAATGGACAGAGCAATCTGAAATACTCAGCCTTTCACATTTTATAAATCATTGTAAAGCATTTTTGTTTGGAGCACTTTAATGAGAGACATTTTCAAGGACCCTAAATAATCAGCCAGCTTTGCTCAGTAGTTTCTATAGAATGGATTTAGAAGTAATAGTTGATGTAATAGTTTTTAACCATATAATACATTTCTTATGTTTTTTTTTCCTGAAGTCTACTTACAGAGGTTAACAGACCTGAATTCACAGAAGCGCTTTCAGTTGCTTAAGCTTTGCACAGAAGAGTCTGAGAGTATTGGTTCAGCTTTTACCGTGAGGTCAGAGTCTATGCTAACTGGTCTGTCCACACATGCTTCTAGTAGTTTAATGAAGCTTAGTCTCTGGTATTAGAATTTAATAACTAATGAATGAGAGAGGTAGCTATAGGTAAATTTATTTGTTATATTTTATATAGAATATGGGTCAATATTTATGTTACACGGCTGATAATTTTATGAATAACAGCAGATATGATTTATATAAAATAAAAATTACCCCAAACGAGAGTCAAGAGCTTCTTAGATTTTCATTTACAGCTAATTATAATCACTTGTACAGAAAAGAAAAGTAGATTTAAGCAAGCAAATATTGCACCTTTGCAACATGATACGATTTTTTATAAGAACCACAATTCTGAAGGATAACGTCAACAATTCAAAAAAATCCAAAAAAAGAAAAATTTATCTGAAAGGTGCCTAGTGGCACACTGTTTTGCAAAGAAATATTTGAAGGCATTTAATAAAACTTAGCCTTCAGAAGAAATGGTTACATAACCAGAATAAAAGTTGGTGAGAGCACAAGTCTTGAATACTACCCTTTAAAAATGAAAGGGACTGGAGCGATAGCACAGCAAGTAGGGCGTTTGCTTTGCACACAACCAACATGGCCAACCGAAGTTTGATTCCTCCGCCTTTCTGGAGAGCTCGGCAAGCTACAAAAGTATCTCGCCCATACAGCAAAGCCTGGCAAGCTACCTGTGACATATTTGATATGCCAAACATAGTAACAAGTCTCACAATGTTACTGGGCCCACTTGAGCAAATCGATGAACAACAGGAGGAAAGTGACAGAAGAATGAAAGAGTTTTGGGACTAGAGAGATGGTACAGCAGGTAAGGCATGCCTTGCATGCAGCCGACCTGGGTTCAGTTTCCTCGGCATCCCCTATGGTCCTCAGTGCTTACCAGGAGTGATTTCTGAGAGCAGAACCAGGAGTAACCCCTGAGCACCTCCAGATGTGACCCCCCCCCAAAAAAAAAGCTTTGGGGGTTGGAGCGACATTAGGTATAGTGCATACTTTGCAAGTGGCTGACCCAGGTTTGATCCTCTGCACTACATATAGACCCCAGAGCCCTGCCAAAAGTGATCCCTGAACTTCACTGATCATGGCCAAGTGTGCCTAAAATCTGTAAATAAAGTAGGGTGAAAAGAAAATTCAAATCACACAAAAATCAAAACCATCCTGTTATTCGTCGATTGCCTCAAGCAGGCCCCAGTAACGTCTCCTTCGTCCTAGCCCTGAGATTTTTTTAAAAAGTGCCATATTCAAGGTTCTTTCAGAGTTAGAAGAATGAGACCCTTCATTGTTACTGGTATTTGGCATATTGGGTATGCCACGGGGAGTTTGCCAGACTCTGCCTTGTGGGCAGGTTACATTTGGTAGACTGCCAGTTTGTCAAAGTAGGAATGAGATGATAAGATGCCGCATTTGCGGCCGCGCACTTCTGGAAACAGGGTTTTATAGTTTCTGAGTCTTGGCCGTTGATGGGATTACATGGTGTCAGGGGGCCAGTTGGTGGGTGTGACCTCGCCTACTGGAATTTGGAGGATCTGGGTGGAGGATGCTCAGCCCCAATCCGAGTAGGCTTGGAGATCTCGGCCCCGGGACCTGCGTGGCTTTGGTCCTCTGCCGGTACCTTCATGTGTGCGGAGAGTGGTCTCAGCATGGTGGTGGCTGGTTCTGGAGGTCTTTGGCTGCCGGAGCCCTGGTCAGGGCGGGGAGGAAAACTCAACCCGCTCCCCTCCAAGGGGCCCTGGCGAGGACAGCCAGGCGCGGGGGCAGGAGACTCTGCGCTGTTCTCTTCCGGGAGCTGGGTTTTATAGTCTCTGAGTCTTGGCTGTTGATGGGATTACATGGCACCAGGGGGCCAGTTGGTGGGTGTGACCCCCGCCTACTGGAATTTGGAGGATCTGGGTGGAGGATGCTCAGCCCCAATCTGAGTAGGCTTGGAAAAGTAAATTAGCTAAGAAAATTACAATATGAATTCATAGGAAAAATATATTTTCTTTTTGTTTTGGTTTCATCTGTTTCCTTTTTATACATTGCTACATTTTCTAGCTTCTTTTCCACTTAAATGAAAGCATGAAACTGAAATTTCAGTGAAATGTAAATGGAGTAGATAGATTTATTATCTTTTGACTAATGTTTGAAAGCCATTCTTTTTTACCCAGTTTTTCCTAATGGGATATTCATAGAATGATATTAGAACCACATGATACAGGTGCCTGAACATGCCCACTTTTAATTGTAGAAAAATCAAACTGGAGCTCTAATACATAAGATCTCGAGTTTTGTCCAGCCAATTCTTAATGTAGTGTGTATTTCTAGTATGGTTGTAAATACACAATGAGTTTGTGAAAGACAGTTCCCCTCTTTTGCAGTGTCCTCTACAGGATATCTGCAAAACAATGTTCAGTCAATTCTGGCTTTTCAGTGCCTTTGTAAATTCATGATCTGTCTCTACCTGCCTTTTTTGGGGGGTGGGGGAGGTCACACCCGGCAATGCACAGGGGTTACTCCTGGCTCATGCACTCAGGAATTACTCCTGGCAGTGCTTGGGACCATATGGGATGCTGGGAATAGAACCCGGGTCAGCTGCGTGCAAGGCGAACACCTTACCCGCTGTGCTATCGCTCCAGTCCCGTTTTTTGTTTTGTTTTGTTTTGTTTTGTTTTAGGGCCATACTTGGTGGTGCTCAGGGATCACTCCTGTGGGACTGGGGAAATATCAAATGTAATACAAAGCAAGCACCCTACCTGCTGTCTATCTTTTTGGCCCTCTTGATTCTGTCTTGCCTCTTTTAGAGTAGCCCCAGTTCTGGTTTTTAAAAGACACACTATGACCTGAGAGCTAGTGTAGAGGTTTGTCTTCCTTGTAGCTGACCCCAGTTTGGTTCTGGCATGCAGATAGTCACTTAGCACGTCCAGGAGTGACCCCTGAGGCCTCTAAAATAAATGAATAAATGAAAAATAAAGACATACTAATTTTTACAAAGATGAGTCATTACACGTTACATTTTTAAAACAAAAATATTTCTGGAGATTATGATTCTTAACACTACGAGCATTTCTACTCTCCAAAAGACATGGTAATTTGGCAGAGTTCCAAGGGACAGTCTGGAAGAGCATGAAAATACAGATCTGGAATGTGGAAAAGAGAGAACTCCCCTCTTCTTTAGAAAATCAGTGGCTTAGCTGAAGAGGATGAAGGTTCCATTAGAATCACACCAAGTTCAGATACCAATGTCTGTTAAAAGTAATTCTGTGCACTTAAAATATTTGAAGTTGATGGCAGAGTAAAACTAAAGCAGCAACAAAATTCATCCCCACCTCACTACAGATGCCTTTCATCCTTAGAGGGTGCTAAATGTAGAGGGGTACCCTTTTTTACCGAGCAGTGGTCTTGCCACCCAACTTGTTTAGGGACAAGACAGCCCTGAACCAGTTTTTGAGAAAAGTTTTATTGCAAGATTAATCTGCAAAGGGGCTGAAGCGATAGCACAGTGGGTAGGGCATTTGCTTTGCATGGAGCCAACATGGCTGACCCGAGTTCAATTCCTCCGCCCCTCTCGGAGAGCCCGGAAAGCTACCGAGAGTATCTCACCCACACGGCAAAGCCTGGCAAGCTCCCCGTGACGTATTCAATATGCCAAACACAGTAACAACAAGTCTCACGATGGAGATGTTACTGGGCCCGCTTGAGCAAATCGATGAATAACGGGAGGACTGTGATCTGGAATCTGCAAAGAGTCAAGAGGCCAAAACTCAAATCCGGCTTCCCAGTTCAGCAGGGGACATTTTAAAATAGGGCCAGGATAGGAGGAATATGTTGGTTTGTTAAGGGTTTATTGGAGCAATCCTTAAGGGCATGTCTAACTGGAGTCAGCAGTTTAGGGTTTAGACTGCAGCCTTGCTTGGTTTCCTTTGTTGCTGAGTGTGGTTTGCTGAACCAGATTTCAGCTTCAGTTCTGTTTTTGTAAGGCTTTTTGGTTATGCCTAGAGGATAAAGGATAAAGTTCTGAGGAAAGATCCCGAGTGAAATTGATTAGTTTCTGTGATGCAATTCCTTTGAAAGGTTTGTTGTTCTTGCTACTGCTGTTCCAGTTGGGAACTGGTAGTTGAAGTTGTTACAAGAAGTCTAAAAACAGTACAACATCAGGACTTTTTTTAAAAAATTTTTATTAGTTCACTGTGAGGTACAGTAACAAAAATCTCATGTTCGAACTTTGATCATATGGTCATCAAAAACCCATCCCTTCACTGGTGCACGCTTTCCACCACCAAAATCCCCAGATTCCCCTCCACCCCTCCATTCCACACCTCTTCCTACCTGTATGGCAGAAAATTTGCAGAATATTCTTTCTCTACTTTAGTTACCTTCGATATTTCAAGACCAGTCCTACCACCCCTCATACCTGCCGAAAATGCAATGCTAGACAATGTGTTTTGTATTGCTTGTTATGGACATAATATAATGTCGCACAGCCACAAAAGTGGCTGCATACTCAAGGAATTCTAAGATTTTAATAATTGAGGTCTGAAGAAATTGCTGCAGCAAGTTGCTGGGGTCCAAGATTCATTTGTGGAGAAGGCCTTTTGCAAAGTCCAGGGACATATCTGCCGCAGATTGCTCAGGTCTGAGATTCATCTTTGTGTTTCTGAATCGTGGCCATGTGGGAGCTTAAGTAGACAGTGGGAAGATGTGACATCATCTTGGCATCCCATTGGGACGGTGGGGGAGAAAGACCCACTCCTCTCCTGTCCCATGAGACTTGGGATTTGCCATCACTACAAACTCCTCCCTGGTGCTTCTCCCTGGCTTCTAGAAAATGGCAACTGCTGGCGCGCTTAGAGGGCAGGCAGAGGGACAACACCCGTCCCCGTCTGGAGCAGCCCAGTGGAGAAGGCAGTTTGCAAAGTGCAGGGCCATCTCTGCCACAAGTTGCTCAGATCTGAGATTCATCTGTGTGTCTCAACATCAGGACTTTTAAAGAAAATAAATTTAAATCTCAATATATACCTATTTTATTGATTGGGGTACTGTGATTTTTTAGTTATTAATGATGGTGTCCCCGTACATAATTCCAACATCACACCCATTGTGGGTGTACCCATATGAGAACTTTGGGAGAGGGTGTACCTCTCCCAAAGTTCCCAATGTCCCTTTTACCTCCCCCTTCTCAGCCACAAACTCAGTTCTGTGGATCAGTTCTCTCATTGTGTTGACT